AAAAACGATGACTTTTGTAATTCCGAAGAAACGGAACTTATACATCAGGCACTAGCTAAAATGATAGCCATGAACCAAATGCCTATATCATTTTGCTCAAGTGCTGGGTTTGAACAATTTATGAACATAGTGAAACCTAAYTATAAAATATGCAAAGAAGAAGCAATTAAAAAAAGATTAAAATCATTGAAATTATCAATTCAAGATATTATACAGAGAGATTTAAAAAGTGCTAACAATATAGCTTGTACRTCTGACTGTTGGTCATCATTATCACAGGATAGTTATATTACGGTTACTGCACATATGATTAATGATGAGTGGTGTCCAAAGTCGTACACGTTTACAACTCATAAAATGGAGGAGTCTCATATAATACGGCTTCAAATCTTGCATATCAATTGGAAAATACTTTTGAAAAATGGGAAATTGACCAAAAAGTAATTACAGTTGTTACTGATAACGCAAAAAATGTATTAAACGCTGTACAAATGCTGTCTWATATCTCAGAAACAAATGACTTGACATGTGCAGCTCATACCGTACAACTTGCGGTGAAATACGGATTACAGCAAGATAATATTAATTCATTAATAACACAATGTAGTAAGATAGTAAGTCATTTTAAACATTCAAATTTAGCTAAACACGCGTTAAAAAATAAACAAACCCAACTTGGACTAACTGAACATACTTTAATACAAAGTTGTGCAACTAGGTGGAATTCTGTATACTTCATGTTGAATCGCCTTTACACAAATAGATGTGTAATATCAAATGTTTTAGCTGACCGTGCAGTTAAAAAATCGGCCATGGCGAAAAAATTTGAAATAGTAGAAGGTGAATGGATGAATATCGAAACGTTGGTTTCTCTACTGAAACCATTACAAATAATTACGACTGTACTTTCGAGTGAAAAGCATTCACCAGTATCGATGGTATATCGACCTCTCATGTTCAAACTAATTGAAAAACATTTGAAAATAAAAGAAAATGATGATGACATCAGCTTAAAATTTAAACAAACTGTAATTGAACAACTTACTGAACGTTTTAAATTAAATGAACACATAACATCACCAAGTGTCATATCTGCAAGACACATTGCCCCATTTTTTGATCCTAGGTACATAAATTTGGAATATGAGACAATCGAAGTTAGAAAAAATATTCTAGAAAAAGTCAAAAAATTAATTGATGATACTACTTTTCAATTTAATGATAACAGTACACTAATGTCACAAACTGATCAATCTGCAACCAAAAAGTCTGTTAGTCGAATTTTTATATGGTCACAAAGAAAATAATATAAATGATGCATCGGAGCAGTATCAGAATTATTTAAGAGAGCCACTACTCAGATATGATTTCTGCCCACTTGATTGGTGGAAATCTCATGAAAAAAAAATATCCATTAATTGCTCAAATAGCAAAAAAATATTTATGTATAACAGCAACGTCGGTTAGCTCGGAACGTTGTTTCTCTACAGCTGGAAATGTCGTCACACCTAAAAGAAACTGTTTATCAACAGAAAATGTTAACTTATTAGTATTTTTGTACCAAAACATTGTTTATGACGACCTGCTCACCATGGAGGTCCCTCCGGGTGTCCAGATGATCGGCTTCGCTGATGACCTCGYGGTTGTTTGGCTAGGACAGGCGAGCAACTTGAGGATCTAGTGAATCCCGTACTGGACCAAATCGACGATTGGATGGTGAGGCATRAACTACAGCTGGCTCACCAAAAGACAGAGGCTGTAATGCTGACGAAGAGATGGGCCTACAACCCTCCCCGCCTCAGCATTGGAGGTCAGCCGATCGACCTAAAGAAGCACCTTCGGTACCTAGGAGTCATCMTTGACACCCGTCTCTCCTTTGGGAAACACGTTGAAACGGTCACCCAAAAAGCTGCCACATCGGCGGCAGCTCTTTCCAGGATCATGCCCAACATCAACGGGCCTGGTCAATGGAAGAGAAGACTCCTGGGATCTGTAGTCGAGAGCCAGCTGCTCTATGCCGTCCCGGTGTGGGCAACTCCCGTCTGCGACACTGCTAAATCCATCAGAAATCTTAGGAGACCGCAGAGGGTGGCCGCCCTGAGAGCCTACAGGACAGTCTCCGACGAAGCCGCCTTCCTATTGGCGAACATGCCGCCAGCTGACCTTATCGCTMRGRAGAGGACGAGGATCAGGAGAAGGTTCAACGACGCACCGATCCCAGGAGAGCCACCTGTCTCCAGAAATAGGATCAAGAATGAAGAAAGGAAGGCTACCATCGTAAAATGGCAGACCAGGTGGTCCAGTTCAAGCAAGGCCGCCTGGACTCGCCGCCTCATCCCCGATCTGGTTAGGTGGTATAACAGGACGACTCCAGTAGTCCCCTGGTCCTACCACATGACACAGGCGCTCACTAGACACGACTGTTTCCAGTTCTACCTCCATCGCTTCGCCAGGGCCGCAAGCCCAAGGTGTGTCCACTGCCAGTGTCCCTCGGATGCCAGTGTMCCTTGTTCCACGGCGAGAACTGGAACGGTCTACGAACCGACCTCTCTGAGCGCCTCAGGCATCCACCAACAACATGCATTGTATTGTAAAGTCATAACAGGATTGGGGCATTCGCATATATACCAGGTTACTGAGGAATGGGTATCTCAAAGACTTTTTTCCGTTCCCCACAATTACTACATTTTTAAGTTTTTGCTGTTAAAATGTATAATTAAATAAATTGACACTGTCACTAGAAACTTTTTCAATGCCTCTTTACCACTCAAGGAGGATCGTGGAGGAGATAGAAAATTGGAAAAGAACAGGGCCCAAAGAGATTCATCAGTTATGAATTTTATAAACAAATTTAAGGCAATCGAATCTCACTACTKCCGAGGACACAGCCAACGTTCATATCTCGACTCCACATTGAATATCAGATTGATGTGGAAAATGTACATGAAGGAAAACATCAACTTTCTAGTACATGTGAGTTATTTTAGATTCATTTTTAACACCGAATACAACATAGGTTTCGGCACACCATTAACTGACCTTTGCTAAACATGCTTACAGTTGACCGAAAAAAATTAAAAGATGCAATGATCAGGACACCAAGGCTAGCTTATTAACGGAGAAAAAGGAACATAAAATAAGAGCAGACCAAATTTTAAGGAGCCTGAAGAGGGTGTCGTGTTTTTTTCGWTTGATTTTCAAAAAAATCAGGTTCTACCGAAAGTTCCTGATGAGCAAGCGTACTATTCTCGACAAATTTACATGTTTATCTTTACGGTTATGAGAGGCACATCTAAAAGCAAAATAAATCCAAATACAGTCACTAGTTCTGTTGGACTGAAAATKAATACGACAAATGTTCAAATGAGGTAGCTTTCTGTATTCATCACGTTTTAACTTTTACTGATATTCATACTATTAAGCTTATGTGTGATGGCTGTGCGGTACAGAACAAAAACACAACACTAATTTCAATGTGTTGCAACTGGCTCGCCAAACAAAATGTAATCTCAAAAATTGAAGTATTCCCAGTAAGAGGACATTCTTTTATTCCTCCTGATCGTGTCTTCGGACAGATCGAAGTGGAGTGCAAAAAACCCTTCTTTTATTCTTTTTTTTTTTCTTTTATATGGTACTTCCTGAAACTTGGAAAGGATTTTGAAATTTATGATTGGAAAACTGAAACTAGCAAGTTAATTAGGCCTCCAGGACAGTGGAATTTTGCTTTTTCCAAAATAAAAGAATGATTATCACAAAGAACTCAAAAGACGTAGTGTTAGTCCGTGGCGAATGGATAAAACAATTATAAAAAAGCAAAGAGCATTATTAACATGATACCCTCAAAAATTCTAATGCGGAATGTTCTCAACAGTAATAAGAAAATGAATGTAAATAACCTACTAACTGCTCATTATGGAAATGATTAGAAAAATGATCATAATTTAATTTTTTTACAAATTTTTCATGGATGAAGATGCAATACCAGATAATGTTGAGGAAGATAACGTATATTGTGGAAGTCATACAATAGAAAATGAAATTAATGTTAAAGTCTAATAAATAAATTAACTAATTTATTAATCTTAGGTATTTKTAATTTTTATCGATACTTATTATTTAATTTTAAATGATTACAATAACTATGATTTATATAATTAACATCTTTCATTTTTTTGTAAGCTTATAAACTAAATAAAAAAGGAATAAAGACTTCTAAATTGTATCATTTATTATGTTTATTATTAACTTAAGTTATTTTCAAAACGAGCAATCTCCTATCGTTAGTTTCATACTGTATAATCTCCAAACAAAATTTTGTCAGAAAAAAAACAAAATCATGTCTATTTAAGCAAAAAGATCTGGTAAATAACCTTTGTATAACTATATAAAAATGTTAAGAACATTTTTTGATTAAATTATTGGATTTTCGGTTTTCTGAAAATTTAGCCAACATGGAGATTGCACACATTGAATTTAAAGTCCTCATATGTATATGGTGCTCACGCCGTATCAACATAACTGGAAGGGTTCGATCGTGTGATTGTCATAATTAAATAAAGTCTATATATTATTAAAAATAATTTTAAAACATTTAATTTCTCGTTAAAATGTTATGAACACTTATTTATATAATTGATTTGAAATGTTGGTTCCTGCAAATCTTTATTTACAGCAAACCGGATTATTTTACCATAACGTCATTTATATAGTGGGCAGAGTTATCTTCTATAAATTACTTATGTTTTTTTAATTTTAACCATAAGTTGAACTTTATCTTGATCGGCAATTTCGTTTATTTACTTAATCGTAAATTTTCTGTACCTATATTTTTACGACAACTCTGCTCTTATTCCGCTGGTCCCCTTAAAATCTCCGACGTTTTCAAATTGTTTCTCGAAACTCCGAACTCAGATTTTAGTTGATTCATTCGTAATAAGTTWAAACTTTTTTGTCTGTTACAAGGATTTTTCGATCCAATACAACAAGGTAAATTCATCAATTTGGGACCATATTTTTTGCTTTTCGTTTTGGTTGCTGTCTTTGACATTTTTAATGCATAAAGATTATTTTTAACATTTTGCTTGGTCGAATATCGTTGTTTCTTTATAAATGTTTGAGGTTTTTCTAATTTATTATCAGTCTCTGAATCCTTTCCAAGTTGGACATTATAGTTGTCCCTATAAAATAACTAATTATAAATATCCATACTCTGTTTATAGTACAAAAAAAAAAAAAAACATTTCGTCTATGCTTACGAGGGTAATTGAAGATGTTCATTAAATTTTTCTAACTCCGTTTTTTGAAAACTTGATAATTGATCTTCGTTATTATTCATACTATTGCCTGCAAAAAGTATTTGTTCACTTTCGATTTGTTTATCCTTGATCTTTATAGTTTCATTAAGTTGCTCCAATTCCATTTTATATTGATGTTCTATTATAACATTACTATTTGTCTTATAACAAAAACTGTATGTAAATAAATATTATCTTACCTCGTATTTGGAAGTTTTTCAATTCATATTCTTTATACAGAATTGCTGTTTCATACATTTCTAATTGAGCATTAGCTTCGTCTAATTTCTTTTGACATTGTTCCTTTGTGTCTTCTAGCCATTTGCTCATTATTATTTCCTTATTGTTATATGTCTGTTTAGTATCACATAATTCTTTCCTTGCTGTCTGTTCTTTTTTTTTTAGCAGTTGTTTCATTTCATTTAGTTGACATTGTAGATTTTCTTTGTCACAGAAAAAACCAAAACATTTTTTTGGGTTTTTTGATTGAACAGAACAAGAATAGTCATCAGGAGAGTTAACATAAATAKACGTTTTCTTGAAATCTAACTGGCACGGATTATTGTTAATTTTATCGGCATCACACGAGCTATTTAAGTTATCACATTTTCTTATGTTATTTATACTTGAGTCACGATTTATTGATGCTGTTATAGGTTGGCAGAGAGACGGACACGTTTGTGTCTGTGAACCAACGTCAAYAAGTTTTAAATGTATTGTCTGTTCATCCTCTTTAACATAACACGGCATAATATCACTRCAATCATAAAATACCAAGATTATTATAAGATATATACAGGGTGATTCTTTTATCGTTTAACACTCATTATTTCAAAAAGTATTGACATTTTTCCAAATACATAACATGTAAATCCAGTTTTTGACCATTTKGTACACACTTTATTTAGAATCTCAGATAGGTMGTAAAATAAAATAAAATATAGGGTATGGGAAACAAAAATTGCGTATATACCTATTACAGAAAAGGCTTATTAAATTCAAAAATTCAGTCATTTTAGGATGATTTACCCACTATTAATAATATTATAATCATAACCACATACTCATTGATTTTTGCCAGAAATTGGTTCACATAAGAAAAAAGATGATAATTYTTTATTACAACAGTTCAATTACCCACATTGGTTTCATTTATCAATTGGTGGGAAATACCTACGGCTAGTATTGTAATATTATGTATTATACTATACAGGGTGATTCTTTTATCGTTGAACACTCATTATTTCAAAAAGTATTGATATTTTTCCAAATTGTAGTTTCATACTTTTCTACATTTTTGTAAAGTTTTAATATTTTCACCCTTATATATATCAGGTAAACCACTATCAACTTTTGATTTTCAAATGGGAACCCATACTAAAAATGTATAAACTAATAAGGCTATTTTTTTTATGAATTTTCACGTTCAAATTTTAATTCTTCGTTAATCCGTTGGTGAGATATAGCTGCTCAAAGTTTTGTGGTTTGGGTATGTGTTTGTGTATAAATCTGCTATACCTAGTCAGWAGATACCACAGAAATCCGAATTTGTATGCCTCGGCGTAAAACCCTTTACAAATCAAGTCACCAAGTACACTRCAGAGTAAACTAAAGCTAGCCCCCTAATGTATTCTATTATACCCATTTGTCAGGGTGTCGTGCAGTTCACCCCACTGAAGGYGATTGCGGAACAGGTCATAATAATACTTATCAAATATAAAGACCAGAAGTTGAAAGTAATAAATACGATATCGCCTAATCCCATGGCATTAAGTGATATTATTGTAGTAGGTATTACATTAAGTACATACTCGCTAGTAGCTACAATAACTGATTGTTATGATGTCATATTATAAATTATAAGTAATTGGACCATTACTGTCACTGATCGGATAATCACGTGTAATCTCCTATGCCCACGATTAAACGRCCTACATACCTATTTAAGATTAGGTAAAAGATACTAATTTTAATTTTTAATCAGCCATTATTTTGTATTGTTTTGTGCACGATTAAAGGTAGTATCTACTATAGACAAGAATCTCTATGAGGTATCTATCTTATCTAAAAATATAATAAAAATAATATAATCTAAAAACTTGGTTGTCAATTGTCATCAGAACACAGTGTCGCCAGTATATGTATTTAAAAAATAACTAGTAACGGTCACACTGTTAATTTATGACAGAGGTATGAAAAATCAAAGACCTTTGTGACTGTACAAAAGTGTAAATAACATTGATATTAAATTATGGTTTAATATCTATGATAAATAACCAACTCGCAGATCTGCTATCAAAATTCAAACTATCGGTACAACAACAATATAATTTAAGGACTGTAACTTTACTGTTAGTCTGTTACGCTGAATGATTTGCTACTTTGCAGTTGATAATTTGTACTTCACAAACCATACTACCATAGTATTGTATAGTGTTTATAGTGTCTATACTCCATACTAATCATCATATTTACAAGTCACAGTTGACATATCACTCCACGTAACAATGTCTGGATATGGATACTAGATAAACCAACATATTACAAATATTTTGCATAGTATTATTAACAGGTTAATTTAACACTATAATAGATATATGTTAGGTCTGAACTAATTTAATAGTTTGTAGGTAAATAAATAAATTTTTTTTAACCAACAAAATTTTAATTTAATACATATACAATCAAAAATAAACTTTAGTTAAATATAATTAATTCCTCTTAAGGCAAATCAATGATGTGACACACTTGGTCGCAAAAGGGTTTTTAGACCATTATTTTACATTTGAAGATAATTTAACAATAATTTTTTTATAAACATAAGTTAATCATACATAAGTAACAAATGCATGTAAAAAATATGTCAATGTGAGACTAAAATCTAGATCAGCTTCAAATATGAAATTTTAAAGTATCTTTAACTTTATTTCTGTGGTTTTTTAAACTTAAATTAATTTAAATAGATTCTATATAAATAATTAAAACTTCAAATTGTAGTTGAAAGATAATTTTAAAGACATTGTCGCTGCAGGCACTATCACCTAATATTTCATCATACAATTGGAAAAATACTCCCAAACCCTAATCATGACTGAATCTTCCACATTACATATTCATATTATATGAACCACTTAAAAATTGTACTTTAATTTACAAGACCAGAACTATGAAAAATCTATTCCAAATTTGATGATACACTTCAATCAAAATTTTCGTTTTGCAACTGTGCAAAATATGAGTAAAGACAAAATGTATTCAAAAAAAATAGAACAAACTATTCAATAATCCCAGAATCGCAATTAAAGTTTAATTAAAAAATGGCTCTAATAATAATTAAACATAAATTAAATTTAGTATTAATACTTATAAAAAGTAACACAAAACGATTTTAAATAAAAATCCATAAGGTATGAACTAATTTAWTACAGGTATACAATTTTTTTTCTCTAATTTTTCTAATATCAATATAATATTAGTAAAATTTTTAGTTTTTAATACAAATCATTGCCAATATGCAGTTAGTCCAACTAGATTTTTCCTCTTCTTTGTAATTATCTTGATTATCTAAAAAATAACTTAGAAAATATAATAATTAAATAACGCAACAGTTGAGCATAATTGTACATACTTAATTTATTTTGTAGCCTATTGAAATATTTAAATCCAATATGTGAAACGGTAATTTTATTTTTCACCGTTAGCATTTTTAAATGTAGGTAATTAAAAATAGCAGCATGTATGTATATAATTTTAACATACAGGATCTTCCAAATTGTATGTGGTAGTAGATTTTGTTATGGAATATTTAAATTAGAAAAAATATTYTWAAATKTCTRWGTAGTGATATGCYACTTGATTGTTAACAAGCCATATTATAATATTATCCAATATGAAAGATTAGGCATTCATTTGAACAAATTTTTTTTACATATATGTATGCAATTAAACTGAAATCAAAATTTTTAAGTTAATATGTATAATATTGTATAATTTATTTTAATTTTTGCAACTAAAAACTAGTGAAACTTACCAGTATCCAGTTCACGTGTGATTAATCAATTTAGATRCTTTAGGTATGTTCCATTAAATTATTTAATAAATTAAATTAAATACAATATGTAGTAAATAAGGAATATTTTTTCAAAAACTAACATATTATTATATCATACGTTTATCATTAACATGTAGACTGTAGACACTTAAAATTGTAAAGTATTAAAAATTAAGTACTTAACTAATAAACCACAAGTCACAATTCAATATGTTCTTATTATCTTCTAACGTTCTAACCTAACCGACAACCGTTCATATTCTATACTCAACATATTATCACGACATGATCCACATTTACTAGGTAACTGGTATACTTCCATATCGACTTGTAATCATGGAACTATAATATCGTGAACTATGAGATAGTAGGTAGTATCTACCWTTAACACAAAGTAACAGAACAATACGAAATACTAACTGATAAAAATAAGTATGACGTATTCCTAATCTTAAATTATTAAATGGGTACGTTAACGTCGTGGGGATAAATTACACGCGAGTATCCTACAAGTGACAGTAATGGTCCTATTAATTATAATATTACATTATGACGATAAGTTTTTATAGCTATTTAATTATTATTATTATTATTATATCTTGGATTTGAGTGATATCGTATTTATTACTTTCAACTTCTGGTCTTTATATTTGATAAGTATTTTGACAAATGGGTATAACAGAATACATTAGGGGGCTAGCTTTAGTTTACTGTGCAGTGTACTTGGTGACTTGATTTGTAAAGGGTTTTACGCCGAGGCATACAAATTCTGATTTTTGTGGTATCTACTGACTRKGTATARCAGATTTATACACAAACACCTACCYAAACCACAAAACTTTGAGCAGCTATATCTCACTAACGGATTAACGAAAAATTAAAATTTAAACGTGAAAATTCATAAAAAATAAAACCTTATTAGATTATACATTTTTAGTGTGGGTTCCCATTTGAAAATCAAAAGTTGATAGTGGTTTACCTGATATATATAAGGGTGAAAATATTAAAACTTTACAAAAATGTAGAAAAGTATGAAACTAAAATTTGGAAAAATATCAATACTTTTTGAAATAATGAGTGTTCAACGATAAAAGAATCACCCTGTATAGTATAATACATAATATTACAATACTAGCCGTAGGTATTTCCCACCAATTGATAAATGAAACCAATGTGGGCAATTCCATAGATAATATATACATGGATGGGACATACCATGCATTCAAGTGTGATCGAAGAGCATACTAGTTACCAAAATGGTTAATTAAAATTAAGGTGTGGTATCAACCATAGGTGATAACGAAAACGCAATTTTTGGCACACATCGAAGGGAAAAATCTGGAGAGTTATTTATTATTTGTATTTTGTATTAAGTTGCTTGTAAGTTATAACATTTTGGTTCTAAGACCAAACCTAATTGCTAAATACAACACGTATATGGGAGGCACCGACCAAATGGATCAAAATCTTGGATGTTATCGGATTGGAGTTCGTGGAAAAAAATGGTCATGACCTCTTGTAACATGGATGTTAGATGTGTCAATGCAAAGCAGTTGGATTTTAAATAATAAAACAATAAAACAGGGAGATCAAAAATATCTCAACTTGAATTTAGAAGTGAAGTAGTAAATGTTTATTTAGAAAAATAAAAAAATACTCCCAAAGGATCAGGACGCATATCAAAATCATTGTGTTCCTCAGATTCTCATATATCAGATACATTACGGTTCGATAAAATTAATCACTTGGTACAAAATACAGAAGAAAAAAAGAAGATGCGCCGGAAAAAATTGCAACTTAATTGTACGAACAATGTGTTCAAAACGTTCTGTTGGATTATGCATTAATTGTTTTAAACCTTTTCATACCCAATCATGTATATTTATAAAATATTTTTGTAAAAGGTTTTTTTTTTGTACAAGCTGTACGTATAAGGAAATAATTTATTTTTTATATTTACTCAATATTTATTTGTTAACTAATAAAACAAAATTGGAAAATATATAGATAATGCTTATA